GAAAGACTGTCTCTTACTCACTTTTGGATTCCCAGCATCTAGCATAGTGCTGAACACAAGATATGCTCTTAATAAATGTCTTTTGGACAACTGAACGATGTGGCTGGAAAACAATTTTCTTGCTGTTTTAGAAGTTGGTTAGAATCATCTATAGTGGGCAGAAATAACTTTCCAATATACAACTGGTCTTTCTGCTGAAAAACAGGTGTAAAGGTGAGAGTGTGAATTGTGCAAGACAAGTCATCCTCATCATATAGTATTTATCCCTAAGTCTGCTGATGATGCGGCCACAAGAACATAACAATGATGGATGCATTTGTAAGGCATCGAATATTCTATAACACAAGGCATGTTACCTGATTCCTCACAAAAGCTGCTTCTTCTTACTATTGGACACATGGAATACATTTCTCAACCTCCCTTGCATCTATGTGGGGCCTATAGTCAGGTCCTGCTGATGGAATTTGAGCAGCTGTGATGTATATCATCTCAAGGCTGAGGGAGTTTAGAGCATGTGTGCCTTTTCTAGGCTGTGTCTCTTTCTTTGGCTGCCAGCTGGACACAGAGCACCCAGTGGATGACTCTCAGGCCCTAACAGTTGGTGTAGTGCCAAGGTGGAAGGAGCCTGGGTCCCTGAATGACTGAGGGGAACTGAGTTCCCCCTACCACTGTCTCCGAACTCAACTCAAGTGAAAAATGAACTTCTATTATTTAAATTACTATATTTGAAAATTGTTTGTTACCTCACTTATCCTATTCTAAAAACATGAGAAACTAGAGGTCCCAACTTGGGGTCTTGAAATTTGGGTCCTTACTTGGACAACCCGTGAAGCACATGTTTAAATGGATTCCCAAGGGCTGTGTCACTGCCAATGTCAAACATAATACAGTGGTCTGGTCAAAGGAAGCAGCTGGACACATCTTTTTCACTAAATTTATTTTCAGTATGAATTTTTACAGTAAAATGTACAAGGCTGATTTGGTGATTTCTTCATTTTTAGAAATAAAAATAAATTTTTTTGGGGGGGGAAGTCTGAACCTCAAAGACCCTTAAGTAAAAAAAAAAAAAAAAAATCTCTCAGGATAATTGGTATGATTTTCAAATTATAGTCTTTCCAGAAAAATGTGGCTGCTGGTGCCTTCTTTGGGCTTCTGTGGAACCAAGTCTTTATGAGGTACGCCTCATAGAAGACCAAAAGCCACATACTGTAAACTGGGTTTTGTTTGGCTCCATGTCCTCATCATCCTCATTTTCTCCCCACCAATTTTATATTACTGGGTGGTAAACTCACCATATTCTGGCTGCTCTTTGGTTTCAAAAGTCCGGTGGCCTGGGGCCGGACGGTCCCACCCCCTGGGGGGGTTGAGGAAGTTGCTGTCATCTGAGGTACTGTCGTACTTGTAGTCCTGGTCCCCGCTGTTGGCCCTCGCCAAGGACAAGGACCTCTGCCACCAGGCCCGCCAGTCAGGGGATGGGACTGACAAGCTGGGCTTATTCTCCGGATGCTGATCTTTATCTGCTTCAGAGTCAGGACCGTCCACCACCTCTATGGTGACCTGAAGAATTCAGAATAGGCCAGGGTCAATGAGGAGTCGATAGCCTCCAAGCTGGGTGACCCTTGGAAGAAAGTCTGAGAGAGCAGAGGCAATTGATGGATGTGTCCCTCATGAAGGACAGCCTATACAGAACAGAAAACATCCAGGAATGGCCCAAAAGAACCCCACGACTAGAGAGAACTGATATATATGGGCCTTGGAGTGGGAGGAGACAATTCGTCAGTAGGGTCACTGATTTGCTAATGACTACATTGCAGGGAGGGAGGTCTTTAATTCAAAGAGTAAACATGTACTATATATGTTCCTGAAGTGATAGAAGAATATTTATAATGAAACTGAATATTTACTGAGTACTAAGTCTGTACCATGTGCTAAATGTTCTACTTATATTAACTTATTTAATCCTCATAACAACCTTATAAGATTGGTTGATCGGCCCCTATGGTTGATTATCGGCAAAGACGGTCCCAGTAATTCCTCCCATCCTTGTATGTGTGTGCTGCACCTCCCATCAAGCGGTGGAGTTAATTTCCTCTCCCTTTCTACCTGGGCTGGCCTTGTGACACAATTTGGAGTAACAATGTAACAAGCCTCATGAGGTCTTGCAGCTTCCTTTTTTGTTTCTTGGAATGTTCCTACCATTACGTAAGGGAGCCCAGCCTAGACTACTTTTCATAGAGAGACCATGTGAAGAGGGAGGCCATGGAGAGGAGAGCCAAGGCTTCTCAGCCCTTGGCCAACTCCACAGCCCCAGTCATGGGAATGGGGCCATCTTGGATCCTCCAGCCCAGTTGGGTCACCCCAGCTGATACTAAGTGGAGTACAGCTGAGCCCTATTTAAATTCCTGACCCACAGGACCATGAGCAATGGACGTTGCTTTGAGCTACTAAGTTTTGGGAACAGATAGCTTTTTACAGATGGATAAAACTGGCACACCACAGAGAAGTTAACATCTTGCCTAAGGTCACACAACTAGTAAGTGACAGATGTGGGTAGTCTAGTTCCAGAGCCCATGCTCTTACCAACTTTGCCACACTGCCTCTCACAAAGTAAGTGACAGAGGTGTTGTCTCCTCATGCACCGAGGGAGCAAAGAGGCCACAGATGCCAGTGAGGCTGGATGTCATGGGATGTGTAGAGATGTGAGCACAAGGTCCTTAAGGTACAGGCCTTCTTGGCTATGATTTTCACTCACCCTGTAGTCTAGTTCCAGCATGTATATTTCTCAACCAACCCTCAGGGTCAAAACAGATAGTCTCAGAGCCAAGGTCAGAACTTGCTCTCGGATTTAGTGAGTCTAGTTTGGAAGTCATAGGGCTGGAAGAATGTAGCTTCTTGGCTCCGAACGACAATCAACGTAGAGGAGCTTGTTTAAAAAATATAATAAAAGACTCATTGGGTTCCTTTGGCCATCACATAGCTCTTGCAACACTCCCTGGATGAGTTATGTACACATGAATCAGAAACATGTGCTTCACGTAATCAGCGCAAGATGTACTGGGCAGATGCATTTCTAGTTTTGCCCCAACCCGACATCTGAGAGAGTCGCTGGGATGCTCTGCCAAATTGCACCAGGGTGTGCCCAACCTGGGACAAACAGCCCCTTCCTTTTGTGTTAGAAATGGAGAGGTTTGAATTCTACTCACTTTGACAGTCAAAAGAAGTTGCCCAGCTGATGGTGGGCCTGAGCTGTGGCCCTGTGTGGTCCAAACACAAGGTCAGGAGTGTGGCCTTCAATCCCAGAGTATACTCGGGCTGCAACAGTCAAGTGCATCTTTCCTCTGGTGTGGGGTGCCTAGAAGGGCACCACTGGCTTTATTCCATGCTACCACCATTACCCCAGTCTTGTAAGTATTCCTTGAATATTTATAAGTAATTATGGAACTTTTAGTAATCCCCCAAAAAGAAAAAAAGGGAAAAGAAGAAAAGGAACACATCATATGTCTTACATTATTGCTGTTTGCTAGAATGGGTGGTTGCTGGAGTGACAGTGGCTGGGACCCACATGTAACCCTGGAAGGACAAGTGCAGAAGGAGTGCACAGCTGGACTATGCAGAACCAAGCCAGGCAGTGACAGGGCAATACTGAACCTTTGGAAACAATAATCTTTCTCCTTGGTCCCGTCCCCGTCTGCCTGTGGAAAGAACAACTGAGCCGCAACAATTGTCTGCAAGGCTGTTAAGGGTCTTGGAGGGGAGAAGCTGCCAAGAGCCAGGCAAGCCTACAATTATGGTAATGAAATCAGTCTCTGGGTAGGAGATAAGGGGGAATATGCCCAACAGTTTTGGTATTCCATTTGTATTCAGACTGGAGTCAAAGGGATTGCCTAAACAAAACATGCCCTGCAATTTCTCCACGCTGGGAATAAAAACAATTTAATGTTTTAAGCTATTACCGTCAATACAATTTTTTTCTCTTCTAAACTGCTGTTCAGATCCAAACAAAATAGATTTGTTGCCTGGCCAGGCAATGAGTAGCAAAATACAAATTTACTCCAAAAACTATATCGATGACTAAATCTCAACAATTTAGAGGTTTCTTTTTCTCCTTTAATTTCTAGCCACTGCCTCAACTGAATTAAAAACAAAAAACAAAAGACACACAAACCTGAGGATCTACCTACCCCTATAGTTAATGTGGAAACCTCATACTGATATCAAAAGAAGAAATCTAATCTTGAACCTGAAATTTTATAGGCATACAATTAAAAAGACTTAATGAACATGATCAATGACTTCTCCAATGGCAGGGATTGGTTTTATGTTTCCTGTTGCTCTCATTCTATTTACATGTTTCTTAGCATCAAAGAGTCCTTTTATAAAGATGTCTTGAACAATAATCAATGTGATGAGCTGAAGGTGTGGGAGTGAGCTCAGGAGATTTCCAAGCTGATAAAGACTCTAGATATTACCATCTTTCTTTTCCTTAATGCACACAATGGAAGTGTCTTAGTACATTTGTTTCTTCTGGACTTTTCCACACCAAGAATCAAGGCAGCAAAAGAAAGAAAACTCTTTCAAAACACTCACGTCAACCTATGGCAGAACCTCATCGGCTCCAAGAAACAGTTCAAGGTCGGTGCCAATTTGGGGAAGTCTGTCCAAAGTCAGGAATTGAAGATCCTATGTAACCTTAATAGATTACAAACCCTCTTTCCTTGACAATCGTCACAGAAAGAACACAAAATGGATGAGGAAGATATATAATCCCCTCCTCTCAGACCCAGTGATGCTCTAAAAATAACTCTGGCAACCACAGCTAACTATGGCTAATGCTTTGACACTTGCAGCGTGCTTGCCCAACATTATTGCTCATTCTACACAACTTAGACCTATATTTCAGGCACAGAGACTGGCGTGGAGAATTCAAGTTTCCAAGGTGAACAGCACGAAAGGTGTAGAGCTGGACTGAAAACTAGGTCTTCTGATTCCCAGTGATTTTTATACACATTTCCTCTCTCATCTTCATCACATTTTCTATCCATTTGGGAAAACTTACCAATACCTAGCCCTATGATAAGTGCTTCCCACGGATAATCTCATTTAATCCTCGTAGCAACCCTACTCTTATGTTGTTTTGTACTACACAGGCACTCACAGGTGGTATTATCATTCTCATTCTATAGGCAAGGAAACTGAGGCATAGAGAGGTTGAGTAACCGGCACAAAGCCACAGAGGTCTGAATAATACAGAGAATCTGAATGATACAGACTTGTTTCCATGGGTGTGTGGGCACAGAAATTTCTTGCTTGTTACTCAGATAGATCTGCCATTCCAAAAGTATTTCAGAGAAAAAGAAGTAGAAGCATGTACATTTATAGCACTGGCCAACTCACCTGATTGTATTATGTGGCACTCAAGAGGCCTATAGTCATGTAAATATGTCTGTGCAAGAAAAAAAAGGCCTTTAGATGACTATTTTTACATCTCTCTCAATGGAAGAAAAGAAATAAGTACGCTAGTTGAAATGAATACTAATCTCTGCTTGATCCAGAAAAGAGAAATATTTGGTTGTGAATAGCTACTGTGGTAATGAATTGATGCAGTAAGCCTAATAATGAGTTTATTTTAGAGATTTTTGTCTTTGCTATCTGACCATCAGCTGCAGACCAAAAACCCAGCCAAGGATATGAAAGTTCAAGTCTAAATTGTCCTGGGGGATCTACTTTCTTTTCTCAATTATTTATTTATTTATTTTAAAACAAAACTCAACTTCTAGCATTGTTTTAAATTTAATATGGAGATTGGGTTCAGGAGTTTGAGGCTATTTCTTTCTGTTTTGCATTGTTGTTTTCCCCCACCACTCACTTACATAGCCCGAAGCCTGTCTTAAAATGGAGAGCCTGAACCACTGGAGACAGAGGCCACCTGGCTTAGAGGGGTTTAAAAAAGCTCTAAAAAGCAGGGCTTTTTAAAGGATTTCCTTTCCTAAAAGTCAAGAGGCTCAAGAGGGATGTGGCCCTTTGCCCAGGCTCAGCACTGTCACTTTGGAAAGGTGTGGGCTATTTGGCAGGAGGGACAGTGGACCCCAGCCCTGGGGCGTGGGAAATGCTTCTAGACACTGGAGAGATTGGGGGTGTTCAGAGAGAGGAGTATTGAATTCCTGCTCAGCTCCCAGGCTCCAGTCAAAAATAACTAGGTGGGGTGTGGGGCAGGTTGCCAGGGGTGGGGGATGAGGCCCCAGGGCCCTGGCAGCGGAAGCCAGCCCACTGATGCGCCCTTCACCTGTCTTCACTCTGCTCCCCAGGGAGAGAAAATGCTTTCAGGGGGCTGCGGTGACCAGCAGGGCTGTCTGCTTGGCTGAATTGGCCCGTGACAAATCAGTGGATTTCAACAAAAGAGAAGTGCTGGCAGGAAGGGGCGAGGGCTGCCAACACGGAAACCATCACCCTCTTTTAGGAAGCACCTCATCTTTTAAAGGACCACCAGGGAACTGGTTTACTCAAGTGCAGTGGTGCGTGGGACTGCAGCAGCCAGCACTGTGTGTGTGAACACGCGCTCGTGTGTACGTGTACTTATACACACTATGTGGAGATCTAAAGCTGGGGCTCCTGGGGGCAGCAGCTGCTTCATTCTTTCTTTGAACATCTCTCTGAGTGACCAGCATTAACCTTTTGTGGTTTTCTAGAAAGAAAAAGACAAAAACAGAGCCCAATTTTCTTTTCTTTCGGGCTGACAAGTTATCAGGTCAATAAAACATGGGCCATCCCACCCCTCTGTACTGCCTACAGAAAGTTAACAGACATAGGGATTGTGCAAAACAGAAAGGGAATGACCCAACTGGGTAGTGGGAAAAAAAGATGGTGTCAGCCAATCTTTTGGAGTTTTTGACTTTAGTGGTATCTGGGTAGGAGTTTCATTAGTTTTTAATCCATTCAGCCAATCACTCTGATATTCAGAGTTATTGGGAGACCTATGTTCTTGGGGGGTATAGTGATATTTGCTGTTCAAAGGATAACTCAAGAAAAGTATGGAGACTTCACAGGAGAGGCCCTGTCCTTCTTCCAACCCTGTGCTCCAAAGCATTTCTTTCAGATGCAGCACCTGGAGGTGAAATCCTTCTTCTTATGCTGGGGCAGGGAAAAGAGAGAGTGAAAACAAAGCATCGATTGTTATTCTCACCTGTTACAAGTCTATATGAACAGATGGCTTGGGGTATCAGAGGGGAGGAGGGCAAATAATTTCCACTTGTACTACTTCTGCAGCCACACCTTTGTGGCAGCACATAGGGAAGTTGCATTTGATAAAAGTCCAAGAGGCATTGCCGGAGAGAACCATGTGTGGCCTTCTCAAAACTCACCCTCCATTTAATTCTCTGCTCTATCATCTTACTCTAGTTCTCCACATCCATAAGCTCCAACAGCCCCCTCGCCCCTCAAGAAGTCAGGTGGCACTGTTCTGAAGCATTCTTTATGTCCCATCTGGCTAACCAACAGAGCTTATTATGATGAAAAATGAATTCCAACCTTGGCTGCTCTCTTGAGCTCATGCACAGCTCTGTCACGTGGACTTAGCACTTCGCTGTTGCCTTTTTTTTCTTTTAGGAAAAGTAAATCTGGGTTTCCCAGCTCTGTGAATCTCAACTACCTTTGCACCACTGTTCTTCTCTGACATTTTTAAGGGGCCCAGGTAGGGTCTGGGTGGAGTATAGGGATTTCCTGATGGATAAATTTATCTGGGAGAGAGAGAGGGGATCCTGAAGGATTCTGCTCAACATTTGGTTCTTAGGTGAAGCCTTATGCACTTAGTAACACTTCAATGAGAAGAAACTCTCCCTAAAGCCTTCCATATCCCTTCATCCAAACATATTCTCATAACTTTACATTCGTAGCTCTTAAATCTATTACACTAATAACTCAGTCCTGAGCATTAAGCCCCACGGTGATACTTCCCATCTTTGGAAAAAAACATGAACCATAACAAGTGTAAAGTTGTTTCAGGCATGGCCTCAGCATCTTTGGGGTAAGGGCGTTCTGGTCTTGGAACCATAAAAATCTATAAACAAGGAAAAAAATCATTTCTTGTAAATGAAGGCATAATGAGGAGTGATGTTGAGCAATCCTAAGGAGATGTCTGTGCATTTTTTTTTAACCTCCCTCAAGTGGATCCTTTGTTCTTTATCAGAGAACCATGTGGCCAGTTCCTGGAGAGAGGGCAGAGAAGCAAAAGACCTGTTTTTCCAATTAATCAATTAGAACAATACAAGACTCATCAGAAATATTAATTGGGGCATGTAGTGATTTTGCACATGGGTTGTCAAAGAGTGACCTCCAAAACATTTTTCACCTCCGTACCATGAACAGTGACGGCCCTGACCTACACTGTCCCATCTATTCAATCTACCCACCATGGAACACAGCATTTTTCCTGCCCCTGTCTCCATAATCCTTCTGGCCCGTCTTTTGTGGTAGCTGGAATTCTCACACCTATGTCATTTCTGGTGGGAAAAGGCCTTCCATTTTTAAATTTCACAAACCTAACACAGCATTTCGTATGAAGTAGGGGCTGGTCAATGTATTCTAATTGAGGTGCATTCCCAGTGACATTCATAGCCACCATGGCACTGGTTTTATAAGAGAAGCAGCTCTGGCCAAGGAAACTTGATCTAACATGGTGCCATGCAGAGAGTGTCAGTCTCTAGAGAGAGACAGTTAACTTAATTAAGGATCACTTGCTCTGGGGTCAGGTTTTGGAAGTTTCTGCCATATAAACTAATTGTAATTTGATGTGGAAAGGAAGAATAAGGAAAAGCTGTCCCTCCCCAAATGAAAAGAATTGAGAACAAAGCTTAAAAGTAAGCAATCAAACAAAAGAACAGGAGCTGCATAGCGACTAGGTTGCTTAAAAGAAGGAGCCTCTCTCAGCTGTCATGGGACCATCTGTAGGAAGAAATGGAGGGAGATCCAATCAAAATCCAAAATTAGGAGTTTGTTTCTGAAACACAGATTTGTGGGTGAGTATTCTTGGGAGCCCGAGAGTCTGGATTTGAACCCCCAACTACTGTTTACTAGCCATGTGGCCTTAGACAAACCAAATAGCAACTTCCTGAGTACTGGTTGCATTATTGATAATATTGGAAAAATGACATGCATTTTATCTCTTTCAAGAGGATTTTGGGAGAGTCAAATAGGATCAACATCTGCTTTGTACACTGTGCTATTTCAGTGTAGATGAGTATTATCATGTTCAATCCCAGGTACCTCTTTCCATAACCTTTTATTTCCCTCAGCTTCATCCCATGCTATCTTAGTGGTAGGTATTCATTTCTCCCTTAGGAACTTCTGTTCTCACTCCTTTCCTCTTATCAAAATTTTTAATGAGTCATTTACACTTTAGAGCAACTGAAGTGAGGTCACCTCCTGAAGGAATTTCTGGTGTCCAAGGCAAGCTAGAGAGGCATTTGAGAAAGAATGCCTTCTCTAGTACCTTTGAAATCATACTATGATTTGCCTAGTCTATGCCTGTGTTAGATTGGCCCTTTCCTACAGCTATCACATTTCATCAATTTTAGGGCATATTATTCTGTTTTGTTTTGTTTTTTACATTTCAATGTCTCTGATGTCATCTCATATCATGTAAGCTTTATAATCATTAGTGGGTTATACTTTAATTAGCAATGCTTTCTTTCTTTTAGTGGTACGTAAAATAATAGTATATCTCACTATGAAAGGTATTACATAAACGAAATACAACACTGTCTTTATAGCGATAACATGATCATAAGCAGGATTTGTTGAGGGGTTAAAAAGAAAATCGAGGTAAGGCAGCAGTTGCTTTGAAATCAAATCAGGAAATGAAAAGGCAGACTTCCATTTTCTTCCACCTTTCAGCTGCTCAGCCTTACCTGGATATTTGGATTCTGCCCATTGATATCAGCTTTGGAAAGATCTGGAAAATTTGGTAGATCAAGAAGAAAGGATCTGGGGCCATCTCTTTGCAATGAAGATCGCCTAGCCTCTTGCTGGACTCGCTGTCTGGGGAGGGGTTGGTGTGCAGCCTGGTGGTCCAGAAGCTCCCCTGGTGCTTCTTTGGAGAAAGGAAAGCTGGTTTCTGATGTAGAGTCACTTCCCACATTGAGGTTATTCTAAAACAAACAAGTAAATGAACAAATAAATAGGAGTTGCATGATTCAAAAATGCCACCTTTAACAGTTCATTAAATTGAGTAGTAAAGATAATTGCAATGACTGGAATTAAGCCAGGATGGTATTCCCAATTCATTTTCATTCCCTGTGGTTTAATTTTTCCATTTTCAACATACTAGATCATCAGGAATCTTCTTCCAGCCTGCTACTTGGGAATTGTCTGAGGGTAAATGAGTTATGGGCTATTTACTAAACATCGAACACATCAATACAAAAGTGCCGTTTTGAAGAAGGATAAGTGCTTATTCAAAACTAGAATTGAATTATGGTTTTCTTCTCACAGCTTCAATTGATTAACCACTCCGGCTTTAGTTATAACCCTAGAGTCCGGAGTTCATTTCTTTGGTGGGGGTAATGGAACAAAAGATCCGATTAAACTGTATAAAGTACTTGAGCCAAATCATTGATTATATCCATCCATCCATCCATCCATGCATCCATCCACCCATCCATCTGCCCAATCAACAAATGCCAACCACATGCTAGGCACAGGAGATACAACTATAAACAAGAAAGGCATGAGGCCTAATTCTCTTGGAGTGTATATCTAGTTAAGGGGAATAAACAATAAATACATGGATAAATAAATAAAAGCAGATCAGAGAGTGGCAACTCTTAAGAAGAAAAGAAAGAAGAAAATGATAGTAGCCAGGGACACATTAGCTAAGTAACTAGGGAAAACTTCTCTAAGGTGACATCTGACATGAGATCTGAACTAGAGGAGAAGGCACTCTGCAAAGAACATTCCAGCAGAGGGAATAACAAGTAAGGTAGTCCTGAGGTGGTGATGAACTTGTCTCATTTGAGGGACGAAGAGGTGGCCAGTGATGCTGGCATAAAGTGAAAGAGGGACGAACAGCCTGAAATGAAGATGAAGAGATGGGGAAAGCCAGGGAAAAAGTGATAAAAAGGCATTCTAAAGTTTAATGTCTTTATTCTGAAAAGTGCAAGTCTGTTGTTTTTCTCAGCTAGTGAAAATGTCTCTATTTAGTTGTCACTTGGGGAAAATTTTTCCAGTGATTGAAGAGGGTAGAAGTTGCTAGACTTCTTTCCCAAACTAGCCCTTCTCCCCGCACTCTCTCCGGACCTCGCCTCGGAGGCTTCCTTCATCCCTTCGGGGACGGCATTTTCATGTTTACTGGTGGAAGGAGATGTGGAGATAGAATTTCACCAGCGATTGGGTCAGTGGTTAATGTTCTTGTTATTCTTGGGCATGTTTTGGGGTTTTGGAGCGTATATTCCAGCACACTGTCTCCACACGCACTCCCTGCCCCCACCACAGTGCCTCTGACCCAGCCAAAGGGTTACATCTGGTATCAAAACACTCCTGACTCTGAGTCCCCAAGGTCAAGAATGGCCTGGGGATGAAACACATGAAACAGATAACTCTTAGAGAGTTAACCTGAGGGAGTAGATTTTTCTACATCTCTCTAAACAGAAGTGGGGCTGAGGAATAAACTTGCTGGTGCAGAAACCAGCTTCGTGAATGTTCCAAGAGGCCAAGAAGAGGGCTGACATAGACAGTATGTCTGTTGTCTCCTTTTTGAAACATGCAGTTGCAGAGGGAGAAGTTGGATGCTCCTCATGTGCATGCTTGCCCTCCCTTTGGGCTCAGAGATGTGGCTGGGGGCAGTGTTTTGTTCACCTTTCCAACTGCCTCTGCCATGTTTTTTGTCTCTTGGCACATCCTCGAAGAGGGAGTTGTCCTGGCATTTTCAGGCATTGGTTAATATAACAGAGGCCAAATGTAGTATGCTAAGATTGAGTACAGTTCTGAGAGAGAGAGAGAGAGAGAGAGAGAGAGTGCTGTGTCTTCTTCAACATATTTCTCCCTAGATGCCCAACCCTAAAACTTCCACAACAGTGTTAGTGAGGACATTTGGATTCTTGTGGAAATCTTTTTGCATAGGATTTGGAAATACACGTCTCAGAAAAGTACTAGGAATTGTTTGCCAATTGCTTGAGGGATTCCCTGCAAATCCAGCCCTAACTGCATTGTAACATCTGGGACATACCGCTTTATTGGGTTAAAAACAGAGCTCTCTTTCTTTTTCCCTGTGATTAAGTACTCTTTATCCTACTAAAACATATTTTAGAAGAAGAGATAAGAAATGTATTGTTGAATGTATTATTTGGCATTTTGCTTAGATGGCTGAAAAAGCAAGAACTACATTTGATTGGTTTCTTGATCTGACTCTGGAATTTTTCCTGGTAGAAGATACACCACCACAGAGAGATCCTGGCTTGGCCACAGACCAAGAAAACCCCTTGTCTCTGAGGCTCAATGATCCCTCGTGTAAAACAGCAGTTACATGGAGAGTCCTGCACCCTCCCAGCAGGACTGTCAGGATAACGCAGATTGGGTTGAATCCACACACAAAAAGAGGAGTAAAGAATTAGGGCAATCATCTGGACAAGTCAGGCCTCAAGTGCCTCTGCCGGGAATAGACTGAAGCTAAAGTATGTTTTGGCTTCAGTTAGGCACGCAATTGTGGCATTTCTCCATCTTTCTCCAATTCTCCCCCTTCTTTGTCCTCCACAAGTTCAGTGTTTGTAAAGGATTTGGAGGATGGGATGTAATAGAGAAATACTAATTACGACCTCTGAATATCTGAATTACTCTTGCATCTCTACCAAAATATATTTATCTGGAAACCTTGGCTCCCTGCAGTGGAATGTCCCCAAACTCTTCAGGAACTGGGAGCCCAGGATAGAGCCATCTTATAATGGCTCAAATAAAATGAAACTCATCTTTATTCAATCGATAACAAGATTTTTGGATAGCCATTATTTTGGTAATCTAGATTTTAAATCCAGTATGGGAGATGGCATTGGTTATAGCATTTGCTAACAATGCAGGCAAAGTCCTTTTCTTCTTTCTTAGGGACACACTGCACATCTTTCTTGCAGAGGCCCCCACTGGAAGTCTTGCTTGATGAACATCACTCACGTCTCACCAAGCTCACTCACTGAGTGTCCCACTTAAATAATTCTAGCAGAGTGAAGATTCTCAGGAAGGGTGGATCTCAAAGTAAAGATTTAAATAGTTTGTGTTTTATTCAGGAAAGCAAACATCCTTCCTTGAAGACAATAGCTTAGGAAAGTCCAAGAATTGAAGCAATGTCACCATTCTTTCCAAAGTGCTGCAGGATTCATTCTGCCTAAGTTCAAGTGACATGAGGGGGCCTGCTCAGTTTGGGGGTATATTCCTTTACCCACAATATGTCATTGAGTTGAGTTCTAATTTGTTACAGTGCTACAGCTTCAGTAGCAATGTTCTCTCTGCAACTCATTTGAGAGCAGCAACTGCCAATAAAAAGAGAAATAGAAGAACTAAAGCTATTATATGGTTTATACACATGCATTGTTGAACTGCTGAGGCAAGTGATATATAGCGGCCAAATTATCCAGCTACTGCTGATACTCCCCATCTTTGTGCATGGTTCCTGTCCCTCTGCTATTTTACAGCTTATTCTTATTCTTACGTAAAATAGAAATCAAATAATAATAAAATGTTAATGATAATAACAAATAATAAAATAGGCTCCATGCTCATGCAGCTTAGTATTTTGCCTTAGATGACAGTATTGTGGCAAACATTGCAATCTATTCCCCTTTTTCTTACTCAGTGTTTGCTTCGGGTGAAAATGTACCTGGCTAAAACTACATTTCCCAGCATCCACTGCAGCTAGAGGTGATCATGTTATACAGTCCTGCCCAATGAGGTATAAGTGGAAGGGGCTGGATGGGACTGCTGAATAGGAAGCATAGTCAGTTTGCCTTTGCCTTTCTCTCTTCCACTTTCTCCTGCTTGAAATATGGGTACAAGTGCTTGAAGTGGAATGAGGTAGCCGGCAGGCATGAAGGCTATATGCTAAAGGTGATATAATGGAAAGACGAAGGTGCCTAGGTCCCTGATTGCATTGCAGAACCATCATACCAGTCCTGGAACGGTGACCTCTGAACTTCTTTTACCTCTATAATTAACATTAATGTTAACTTTGACAATGGTGCAGCACCAGTATTAGTTCCCTATTGTGACTAATTCTAATTGTGACTAACCATAAAAAAGGGAGAAGCCCTGTTTAGCTAAGTGAGGCAAAGTTGAGTCCTCTGTTCTTTTGCAATGGGACACAATCCCCAGGTAATGACGTACCAACGGAGCATTTAATGAATCATCATGGTGAACTTCACAATGGAAGTCAGGCTACAGATGCTCAGCTCTGCTGTTAACTTTCCTAATATTTTATTCCAACTCTACCATCAACACCCTTTTCCATACATTTACAAAATCTTATCATTTCACCATCTATACATTACATTACTCAAATCTATTACTCACTGCGCAACGTAGTATTTCCTTTAATTTGTCCTAAAATACTATCATTAAATTTCAAGGAGTTTGCCCTTACTAAAAGGAACCAGAGCTCCTAGGACAAATGGCTGTTTCCACGGCTTGGGCAAGAAAGTATAGGTGGGTTTGAAATACTTTGCTGTGCCAGAAACAAGAAAGCTTCTAGTGATTAACAGTGTCCTCTAGAAAGAACACAGGAGCCAGCTTAAAAGGACCTCACTGCACACAGATTAGACAATTGGAGCATCAAAACAAAAAGCTTATAGTTGACCACCATATATTAAATCTATGAAAACCCATGAGTCTATGATGACACTAACAAAAGGGAAAAGACAGAAAAACTATTGTCACCATTCATGGTAGGACTTACAACACTCCTTACTTGAATATTGGTTTAAAAAGAAAGAAAAGGTTTTCTGAGGAAGTAATGTTTGAGCTGAGATTGAAAAGGTGAGTAAAAGTGAAGCAATTGACGAGAACAGAGCAGAGGAGGAGGTGGGCTAGTGAGCAAAGCAGTCCCGGCAAAGGATACAGCAGGTGCAGACTCCCTGAGACCTGACAGAGCCTGGTACAGAGACCCAAAGGA